TATCAGGTGACATTGGAAATAAGGCCTAAGCTTTCGAGCGACGACTATGAGAGTTAGGGCTAGTTTTTCGAGGTGTGGGTAGCAATTCCGTTAAAATTTTACTAACATAATAAATAGGGTATTGCTTACCTTCATCTTCAAGGACTAAAACGCCACTTACTTCTACCTCCGAGACCATTAAGTAAATCAGCAATTGCTCGCCTTCCTCTGATTTCGATAATAAATGAGGGCTTGATTAATACCTTTTCAAATCTTTTAGAGCCTGCTGGCATTTCAGAGTCCATTCGAAGTTGTTCTTCTTTTTCAGAAGTGAGAAGAACTGATGACACTTTTCTTAAGACCGGGAAATGAACCTATTTAAAGTAGCCAGTCTTCCTGTTAACCTCTAAACCTCCTTCACATTTGACAACTGGTCGAGAATGTCTTCGATGGCTTTAATTTTACCGGGATTGACTTCGATTCCCCTTTATGACACCAAGAACTCTAAGAACTTACCGGAGTGACTCTGAATGCATATTTTTCGGGGTTAAGCTTTATGTCGTACTTCCTTAGGATCTTAAAGGTTTCTTGTAGGTGTTTCAGATGATCACCTGCGTTCAAATACTTAACCAACATATCATCTATATAAACTTCCATTGTTTTCCCTATCATCTATATAAAATTCCATTGTTTTCTCAATTTTTTTTCAAACATTTTGTTCACAAGCCTCTAATAAGGGGCTCCGGTATTCTTAAGCCCGAATAGGAATCACATTATAGCAATATCTGCCAAAGTTTGTTTTGAACGAGGTTTTTTCCTGATCCTACGGGTTCATTTTGATTTGATTGTACCCAAAATAGACATCGAGGAAACTCATCAACTCATGCCTGGACATCGCATCAATCATTTGATCAATTTTTGGCAATGGGTACGTGTCTTTTGGGCACGCCTTATTCAGATCCTTATAATCTACGCACATGTGAAATTTATTCTTCTTTTTTGGAACTACTACTACATTAGCTAGCCAGTCAAAATACTTTACCTTCCATATTGAACGGATATTAAGCAATCAAGTTACCCTTCTTTGACAAATATGTTTCTAACCTCAGCAACATGACGTTTCTTCTGCCTTACCGTAGGGATGTTAGGATCCGGGCTTAACTTATGCACGGCCACCTCTAGCGGGATACCTGTCATATTTGCATGCAACCACGTAAAATAGTCAATGTTAAATTAAGAAATTCTATAAATCCTGACCCGAGCTCGGGATTTTACCTTGTCCCCAAGTGGAACTTCCTCTCCAAGAATTTTTCGAACAATGCGACTTGCTCGAGTTCTTCTGCTGTGGATTTGGTTGTGCCCATTTCTACTGGTACTTGGAAGTATCTTGGTACCTGATAGGATTCCGACGACTCTTCTCACTTGCTGTCTTCGTTCGGTTCTGGAGCAGGTGTCGGTTTCTGTAATTGCTATGATGCATGCTCCTTTCCTTTGCTACTGGAAAGTGAGATTGCTTTCATCTCCCTTGCCGCCAGTTGATCTCCTCTTATTTGCTTAATTCTCTCAGGAGTTGGGAATTTCAGAAATTGATGATATGTTTACGGCAAAACCTTCATCTCGTGTAGCCACAGTCTTCCAAGAATAATATTGTAGCCCATAACGCCGTCTACTACTTCAAAAATGGCCTCTTCATTACCCCTTCGGCATTTGTGGGAAGCTCCTCGGGTTGTCAGACTTGCTAAATTAAACCCGGCGAGGAGCTTTGTGGCCGGAGTAATACTTCTAGTTAGCTTGGCTTGTTCCAGCACTCTCCATTGGATAATATTGGCTGAACTTCCTGGGTCAACCAAAACATATTTAATTTTAAAATCTAAAATATTAAGAGAAATTACCAGGGCATCATTGTACGGTAGTAGGAGTCCATCTGCGTCCTCTTCCGTAAAGGTAATGTCGTCCCTGACGCTTCCCAGAGTGTCTTGCTATGGGTTACTGATACCTTAGTCTTTTTCACTACCGAAAAGGTTACACCATTAATCTTGTTCCCCCCGAAAATCACGTTGATTGTTGGACGAGGGGGATATTCTCATGCTTTTGAGGGTTTCACGTTATTTCGATTGCAGCCGTAGTGATTCTTAGCCTAGTCGCTTAAAAATTCTTTGATATGGCCGTTTTGCAGCAATGTCGCCACCTCCTCATGCAAATGATGACAATCCCATGTCCGATGGTCGTTAGTCCCGTAATACTCGCACTATAGATTGGGATCCCTCTGATTAGGGTCGGATCTCATCGGCTTACGGAATCGAGCTTCTTTAATGTTTCTCATTGCCGATACTAGTTCCACCATGTTGATATTGAAATTGTATTCGGACAACCTGTGTAGGTGGAGTCCTGGGAGCCTGACACCTATTTGTCCTGCAACGATCTGTTATTATGGCTGCGATCATCTCTCCTATCGGTAGCGAATCTATCCGCCGACCAGAAACCTTTGCCACGTCTTTAGTCCCTTTCGTAGGGCAAAAACCGACCTCTAGAAGATCGTCGATATGCATTGAAATCAACCTTCAACTTCTCCTTATTCTTTTCTCGAGCCCGGCCCTTGGTTGATGCTGGAAAACCAAGCTGGTCATCCTCTATTCTTATCTTCGACTCGTAGCGGTTGTGGACATCCACCCATACTGTTACCTGGAACTCGAGCAAACTTTATTTTAATTTTCGGGAAGCATCAAAACTCCTCGGATTCAGCCCTTTAGTAAATGCCTCAGGTGCCCATTCGTTCGGCACGGCCGGTAGCAATATCCATTCCTTCTGAAATCGTGTCATGAACCCCCGCAGCAATTCAGACTCTCCTTGCACAATTCTGAATATCTCGGCCTTTTGGGCATGTACCTTCCTAGCCCTGTCATAGGCCTTGATAAAAGAATCTGCAAGCATCTCGAGAGAATCTATTGAGTGCTCGGGCAAAAGTGAATACCGTGATAGGGCCCTTTTGTGAGGGTCTTCCCGAAGTTCTTCAACAACAGTAATTCAATCTCATGTTGAACTAAGTCATTTCCTATCACCGCCATTGTATAGGTGGTGATGTGCTCCCGAGGATCCGAAGACCCATCATATTTTAGCACGTCTAGCATTTTGAACCTCTTTGGGATTAACTCCGATGCCGCGCTTGGTTTGAACGACAACTGGGTGTACTTCTTTGAGTCTGGTTCTTTCAACATCGGCGGTGCGCCCGAGATTTGATCCATTCGAGAGTTTATCTCCCTTATAAACTGTATGAGTTTAAAGGTATCACTTTCGTTGTTATTATCGGATCCGCCGTCGTTCCCCCTGGCCCTGTCGAAATCGACCTCACCCCTCGGGGTGTTGTTATCAACCCTCTGTGTTGTTTGTTTTATGGGAGCACCGGGAGAAATTGGACCTCTACCATTCGCGTTGTTGGAGGCAACCGACAATGCTTGCTTCAACTCTGTCATGACCTGATCTTGTCGCAAGAGATGTCCCATAATAGCCTTTTATTGCTCCCTTAATATTCTCACCGTTTTCACAACGTGCTCGTCTTCAGCATCATCAAGAGTTGCCCCTCGAACGTGTTGTGGATATTTTCTGTCATGGACTGGAGTGGCTACACCCTCCTCGTTGTGGGTATCGCTGATCGAATCTTCATGCTAAGGCTGATTTCCTTGGACCTCAACAGTGTGCGTGATGTTGACAATGTCAATAGCCATTTTTTTATGATTTTTTGCTAAGAAACAAAGAATTAAACAAGTTAGTAATAGATGCAATGATCAACCCAATTACGCAACTGTCTAACCCCACGGTGGGCGCCGACCTGTTTACCCATAAAACAGTACAGTTGAATAGTTCAGCCGGTTATTTTATAAAATTTATACCACACCAAATTTTCGATTATTCCATTTTGTATAACTAAAATTAGACTTTTCAAAGCCGTCCTAATCATCTAGTTTTTTTTTGTATTTTCTAAAAATGTCACGCAAGAGTTGCTAGTTAAAGTTAGAATGCAATAATGTGTAATTGCATTACTTTGGCAAAACTCTCTAGATATTTTTACTATTTTAAAAGCGATGATCAAAGGAACATGAAAGATATCCAGAATAGAGATTCATCCCACTATTCTATGGTAGCGTAAAACAAATTAAGCAAAGACGTGAGAAATATAACTCATATGAGTGAAAAGATACTAATCGAGTTGGGACTCAAGAATAAAACTTATTAAAAGATTAGTATCTAGCAAGAGAAATCTAAATTATACGAGAGGAAAAATACCCAATGCCTTGTGGCTTGCCACTGAAGATCGCTGGATTACCTAGTGACTTGCTAATCAATATGTTAGAACTAATTTAGTTTCGATATGAGTAGTAGAATAGGTTTTGAAGTTGGGACCTTGAATATTAATTTTTTGGTCACTTGTAGTCATTTTCATAATCCCAAGACTCAAGAAAAGGAGCTTCTTTGTTAGTTTTAAACTTAGTAGTATATAAAATATATTTTTCATATATAAATTTATTCGGTACGGTTTAGTATTTTTTCGATTTATTTTTATAAAATAAAAAATCTATCCGATTATTCGGTACAATTATAAGTTTGTATAAAAACCTATGATTTTATTAAGATAAACCTTGGTTCGATACGATTCGATTGGATCAGTTTAATCGGTTTTTAAATATCTATTAACCCTATTCACAAATTTCAAAGTAGTGGTACTACATAAACATTAGCAACCGCATGATAGCTTCAAAGAACTAAGTAGAAGCTATGTGATACACAAGAATTTCTTATCAAGAGAATCTGGTTGTTCAAGCATTTGAGAGGTTGGAGAGTGGGGCATTACAGACATGCAGAGGCATATACTATAGGGGAAGGAAGTGTCCACGTGGATGGCACAAATTAAATAAAGGAGATAGAGATGGAGCTGAACATCTTATTGGTCCGAAATCTATCCACTAGAGATCATAGATTTCATCTGCAGATTTCATTTATCCTACTTGGCTCCTTACAATCTGCCCTTTTGATCTCATACCCCATATAACCAGGAACCTCACTTCTACCTTCAAACAAGAAACAACCATCCACAACTTTGCAGCTTATTCTACACATACAAACCCCATAAGTGTGTAGATAGAAACATGGCCACCACATCTGCCGCAGTGCTTAATGGCTTGAGCTCCTCTTTCTTGACTGGTGGCAAGAACAGTCAGGCCTTGTTGGGTGCTCCAGTTGCCGCCAGAGTTGGTGGTGTTGCCACTCCCAAGAGGTTCATTGTGGCGGCAGCGGCTGCTCCCAAGAAATCTTGGATTCCTGCTGTTAAAGGTGGTGGAAATTTGCTTGACCCTGAGTGGCTTGATGGCTCGTAAGTTCACTTTATATCTCCTACCCTCAACCTCCATCCCCCGGAGATGAATCTAGGATTTAAAATTAGTGTATTCAGAACATGTATATATGGTTCAAGCAGAAAGCTTGAACCCTGAACATGCTCTAGATTCGTCTCTGGTCCTCCCCCCTCTCCTCATGTTTCATTTTACGCAAAGGCTTAACTGCATTTGAACTTGCAAAGGCTTAACTGCATTTGAACTTGCAGACTCCCTGGTGACTATGGTTTTGATCCACTTGGTCTTGGCAAGGACCCTGCATTCTTGAAATGGTACAGAGAAGCAGAGCTCATTCACGGCAGATGGGCAATGGCTGCAGTATTGGGCATCTTTGTTGGTCAAGCCTGGAGTGGCATTCCATGGTTCGAGGCTGGTGCTGACCCCGGTGCTATTGCACCTTTCTCTTTTGGCTCACTTCTTGGCACCCAACTTCTACTCATGGGGTGGGTTGAGAGCAAAAGGTGGGTGGACTTCTTCAACCCTGAATCTCAGTCAGTAGAGTGGGCAACTCCGTGGTCCAAGACTGCTGAGAACTTTGCCAACTTCACTGGCGAACAGGGTTACCCTGGCGGCAAGTTCTTTGATCCCTTGGCCTTGGCTGGTACACTTAACGATGGTGTATACATCCCTGACACAGAGAAGCTTGAGAGACTGAAGGTTGCTGAAATCAAGCATGCTAGACTTGCTATGTTAGCCATGTTAATTTTCTATTTTGAGGCCGGGCAAGGAAAGACACCCCTCGGAGCTCTTGGCTTGTAAGGAGTTTCATATTAAACATTTTCATTGTAAAGAGTCACTGGATGTAGAAAAGAAGAAACCAAAGCATGGACTAGTCACTTCATGCTTTTCCCCCTTGTGATAATTCAAATCCTTCCCCCTTGAGACAGTTTATCATCTTACAAACACTATAATTGAAGAACAGATTTATGTTTGCCTGGCCCAAGCAGGAGAATATAAATTGTAACAATACAAAGGCAGTGATACGGTAGTAAAATTTCCAAGTAAATGATTCAAGAATCACAAATTAATCTGATGACCCTAGTCCAAGAATGAACATAATTTGCAGTCACATATTAAAATTTGAACAAAATGCTGCACAAACCTTCACCAACCACATAATTCAGCCAGGATGGCTTTAATGTCTTGCTGCCTTCTTGGTTATAAGATCAAAATATCATACTATCAGAATCAGGATTGTCATATCAATGCACGCAAAGGCAAAGAACTCTCAGTCACAGACATAGAAACTTCGCATTCATCCTGACTGTAACATACCATTTGGTTTATCTTTGGCAAGGACAGAAACCAAAAGCTCATAGATTGCAACTACGCTTCAGATGAAAAAGAAATTTATGAGATTCCCTAGTTTAACATTAATGGGAGCAGATCAAGGTGCCAGAAAGTTTCCTAGTAATAGCTTCACACCATTACTCACTGCCTGTAGCCATCAAGAACTCACCCTCGCAGACCACATCCCCACCTACGTATGCCTTTCCTTCCATCTTTGCTATTCCAAACCGTTTCTGCAGCTTGATCAGTGTCATTCTCATTACTAAAGTATCTCCAGCGATCACTGGTTTCCTGAATCTTACTTTGTCTATTCCAGCAAAGAAGAAGTTCTCTCTGGAGCCTCCCACTTCAGGTTGTAGCATGACCAGGCCACCAACTTGGGCCATTGCCTGAATTGACAGAAATAGACACACATCAAAGTTTGATAAAATTAAAATCTTACAGCAAGAAAGGTAAGATAACCAAAGAAGTCAAAATTTAGACAACTCCAAATAAATAATTTAAAAGTAGATGAAAATAAGTGACAAGCTTTGCATTCAATGTTGCATGATCCTGCAACTACAACTCGTCCTACCTACACATACCATTAACTCTCCTCTCTTTCTTCGTGAGTTGTTATAATACTTTTTCATTTTAAACTGAATTCTAGAACTCCCTTTTAAAAAAGAAAGATTCACCTTGTAGTTCTGCTTGTATTTGGTATACTGAGTACTGATAGAACTCCCTTTTACAAAAGATATATTCACCTTGTAGTTCTGCCTGTATTTGGTATACTGAGTACTGATAAATCTAATACTCTAGGGTCTGGGATAGACTGATGTGTTAGGAACAAATCCGAAAGGGCTGGATATTTGGACTTCCCCAATGTCAAAGAGAATAGGTGTATCTAAAACCCGGGTGATTGTCTGATAAAAAAAACGCGGGTGATTACAGCCCTAGCAGTAACTAATGTCATTTAGTATTCTCAGAGGACATCAAGGTGTGGTCCTCCATGCTTTTTGTACTATAACAATGGAGTCCGGCTATCACCTTTTCACTGAAAAGTAACTTCACTTCCACTTATATTATAAAAAACTATAAAGAAGATAATTAAAATTATCACCAGGAGCTGCTGTATTACCGCTGAAAGCATTTTGACGAGAGGAAAAAATTGCTAAAATTTCAAAACAGCCTGTATATAGTAAGTTATCACACATAATCTTCCATGTTATAATGACATTAGGTCCAGGAAGCTCCACTGGAGAAGGTTTCCAAGAAGGATACATCATAATAGTTCTCTCTCTGTGTGTGTGCGCGCGCGCGCGCGCGCGCGCGTGTTTAAATGTGTCATATCCTCAGCTCTAAAGCAGTAAAGCCCAATGTCATGGGGACGACAAGTGACAAAGAGTTCAGCCTAAGACTGAGAACCTGAAAGTGATAATCAATCAGAGCTCATGGCTCTTTAGCACTCTGTCATAGATATTGCAAATACCTTGTCGCCTCCAAATGTTCTCCAAAGATTGGTGTGGTACACTACCATATGATCTAATGCTGAACTGTGGTATGAGTATGACGATTTTTAATATTGCATAACCATCTTCCTGGAGTGAGTACCAAGAAAAAAGGAGGAGACTTTGTTTCTGAACCAGAAGACTCAAATGCTGATGTGTGATGGATGATCAAACATTTGCTGGAGCTAGCTCTACATGTTCATAATCGAAAGAAGAGAAAGAAAAAAGGGAAATGACCAAAAGGCTAAGGTGAAGGACATAGTAAGTGATACGGTTTTTTTTTAATGAGTACATAATATGCATTGCTTTAAAAGCTTCCCCAATAAATCTACTATTGTAAATAGCATTTCACTTGAGTTCCAATTTCACAAAAATGGCAGGAGATTCTTCTTAACTGAACTATTTGGTCTCAGCGGAAAGATCAGTAAGAGATTCATTATTTTATAAGAAAACAGTTCACTCAGCAGAGCAGCAAATCCTATTGGCTTTCTATGTTCTTTTAAATTGAGGATTAACTTCAGTTATCTTCTTGATCTCACAATTTCACTTGGACAAATAACCAAGGTGAGAAAAAAGCTAACTACTTCAAGTAGAAGAAAATTTTGAAATGATAAACAAGCTTTAAGTGGATACCTAAGAGGTAAAAGAACATTCCTTTTAAATGAATATGTTAAAAACTCTCGAGTCCAATTCAGCCAGTCAGCCCCACTTTCTGAATAGATTTACCCAAAGATTTATTTTTTCTGAACCGTGGAACACTCGTAACGATTGTTGAAGAAATCTCCCATACAAGTCAATTATCTCATGTACTTTCATAACCGAAGAATAGAAGCACTCCTCCGAGAAATATTGTTAACCAAGCCACAATAAGAGTAACTCTTGAAAAGTAAGGACTTCACATATCATTTCAATTACAAAATAAATCAACATGCTATATGGAAAAGGTCAGAACCATCGTCAGTTACATTAGCATCGACATGAAAATCTGAAATAGGTGATAAGAAACTAAATTTATCCAATTTCATTGCTTTGAAAAGAGGATCTCTAATCTATGCCACAATCAATAAGACAAAACCAAAAAGGTGGAACCTTTAACTAATGCAAATGAACTTTCAATCTGTTTCACGGAATCATAAACATACCTCAACCATGAGGACACCAGGCATGATTGGCCTCTCAGGGAAATGCCCAGGAAAGAAGTTATCATTGATCGTCACATTCTTTATTGCCACAGCTGACACTCCTGGATTGTATTCAATCACTCTATCCACTAAAAGAAACGGAAAACTGACAAAATGCAGCCCTAATCAGCAATCCCATATCACATTACTGAAACATATGAATCAATCAACTATGCCTCAAATATCCCAAACTAGTTGGTTTCAGGCATACCAGTCCTACATACCAATGTCCAATCTATTCGAGTTCATTCGAGCACTAAATAATTTGTCTTTTTAAGTCATTAATGAAACAAATAAACACATTTTTACAAAGAGATAAGAAATGCATACCGATGGGGCAAAATCTCGCGAATCTGATTGATATCCATCACAGTTGGAAATGCTGGATACCCTATAAGCAAATCAAAATTTAAACTTCTTTTTTTATAAGGTAAGGTAAAAATCAAGATTTCAAACATTTGAAGGAGCTAAAACAAACAATTATGGAAACAAAGAAGCAAATAAATGCATACTCAATTCAATTGGGGTATCATTTTCTGGAGAAGTACAGTTGGTGATAAACCTAGTATTGCGGGTCTTGTTGAAATGGGTGGACAGTGAATTGACAACAAGAGAGTGTTTGAGCATTGAACTGGGCAAAGGTAAAGACGCATTCTCAAAGCCTCTTTGAGAAGTGAGAGTGGAGAAGATAGATTGTGATACAGCCATAGAAGCCATTGGTGAATATTCGATTGTAGAGTTGAGATTTGAAGGACAGAGTATGGAGTGGAGGCGGAGCTAACAACGTTGCTGACACTGTATGAAGTATGAACTGAAGAATTTTGTTGAACAACCTTATTAGTGTGGAAGGCTCATCCAATGCAACTACCACACTTGTTTGACTACTGTTCTGTTTCAAATTAATGATCCTTTTTTCATAATTAATTAGTACTCCTACTATTTAATTGGGAGTTAAAAGCAGATTTAGGTTAGACTCAGAACTCACAATCTTGGTCGGAGGTGGAGGTTACTCGCCGCCAGATTAACTCACTCTTGTTAGTTAAAGCATATTTATACTCATGATATTGTAATTTAGATTATAACTAGTAACTACACTGCTCCTTTAGAGTTTAGAGAGATAAACTAATGATTTGATTATTTTATTTCATGTTATTTTCAATTTTCACATAGTGAATGTCTATTTAATTACTCCAAGTCTTTTTTTACTTCCCGATTTATTTGATTTCCTTTATAGTTTCTAAGTCTATAGATTGAATAAAATTCTACTACTACTACTTGTATAGGCTAAAATCGATTTATATTAAATGTTTGTCTCATAGTGTCACACTTGGAACCGGAGGCAGATGGAAGATGAAGCAAGTGAAAATCAAGACCTAGGACAACGACTTCGGTTGACACCGGGTAGATCCCGAAGGGAATATTATCAACGGGAACAAACGAATGTTTGTCGCCATATGACATTCAATGAAGAATATTCCTCAGTATTAAATACGTATCCGTTATAGAGAATTTTGGCATTCATGACTTGTCGTTACATATTCATTAATTGCCCCTATTATTGTCATTTAAGAGGGGTTTGATCCTAGGACCTTGTTTCCTAGGTATAGCTATAAATAATAGCTTTAACAACCACTGTAAGACACGAAAATCTCTCACAAACTTATGCTACACACTATTCCAAGCTAAATAATACTTTATTTTCTTTCTAAACGCTATTCTTATTGCTGCCTTCGGAAGCCTGACTGTAGGCTAGAAACCCGTGTTTAAGTCATAGTTTGTACTATAATTACTGCATTTTACTTGTGTTTGAACTTATATGTTAGTGTATTTCACTTATTATGTGTTTTATGCCTTGGGAAGTGATCCCGAGTTAAGAAGATAATCGGGAGCTAAATCGAACAAGTTGGAGCTTTGAAGTCTGAGTAAAAGCCTAAGAAATTAAACCGAAATCGCGTTCGGGGGTCGGGAGC